AGTAAAGAAACAAGGCGAGTTAATTTGAGTACGGCGAGTGCGTTGGCGGTAGCAAGACCAAGATCGTTGTGACAATGAATGCCGAAGATAACGTTTTCCATTCCAGGAGTGTTTGCTAAGATATAGCTCACGAGTTCTCCGAGTTCTTCCGGCATGTTGATCCCTACTGTGTCCGCGATTGACACTGTGGTTGCACCCTCTTTTATCACTTCTCCTAGAACCTTGCATATAAACCCCTTCTCCGTCCTGCTTTATTTTAATCACACACTAGTATTACAAAAATTTACGTATGACATGATAAAAAAATATGTAAAGGTCATTATCACACAAAATCAAGAACATTATCTAGCAGTTGCTAAAAACGCTTTAGATTATGACATAGTTGTTGGACATGTTTAATTTTTTTGTGTTTTAGTTACATGGTCTTTTATGTTTTTTGTGTAGTTTACTATTTTAAGTGTTCATAGTCGTCGACCATGATTTAAATCACAGTAAGAAAATCGAACTTGGGTCCCAAAATCCTTCAACCACTTAACCACCATGAGTTAGTTGAAAAAGTTTACATTTAAGTAGGAAAACACTTTTTTTAGTTTTTGTTATGAAAATATTTTTGCAAAATTATAACAAACAATCGAGATATGTTAAGTTTCAGGATATGGACCTGCCGCCATCTTCGCAACCAAATTGGATGTCTTTGAAGCCTATGCTCTTAGCAAACCTAACACTACTCGCAGCCATCTCGATGACTTCTTCTTTAGTCTTTTTTAACTTATATTTCATGTGAATGTCACTTGTAGATGCGAATATAAGTATTTTCGGCCTCTTCGCATACTTCACTGACTCCCAAGCCACCTCAATGTCTCTTTGTTTGCACCTTGCAAGGGCGCATATCATTGGTACGTAACCTGTTTCCTCATCCACCTAATTAAGCAAAACACAAGATAGTTGTTTACATGGTTAACTATATTTATATACATGTAGTCTATTTAACTATATAGTGTGCATATAAAAAATCTTTAAATTATAAAGTGAAGGAAATAAAGAAACAACCTCGTTCCCCACGGTCTTGGCAATGGTTTTAACGGTTTCGAACTCTTCCTCAGATGACGCCGGAAAACCAACTTCCATGACGTCTACTCGGAGTTTAGCGAGCTGCCGAGCAATCTCTAGCTTCTGCGGTGGAGTAAGGGCTCCACCGGGAGATTGTTCACCGTCACGGAGCGTCGTGTCCAATAGACGAACATATTTCTTGTCGGGGAGCTTGTTGGGAATGTACTCCGGCCACCGTTCCACGACAGGTTTGACGTTAGTAGCACTACTCGTCGCTTTCTTGGACACAGATGAGCAACAGGAGATGAACAAAGGCTTCTTGTTGTACGGACGGATCAGTCGGAGAGATCTAAAGGGTAGCATTGGCCGGACAACAACGGGGGAAACAGTGGTGGAGATCATACCGGAAGATGTCAGAAGTGACAAAGCCATCACAATGGATTACGTAGGAGAGAAAGAGAGAGCAAATTTGGTTTTGATTGAGGATAGATATGTAGTGAGGAAATTGTTCCGCAATGAGATGGAGAACATGTATTATCTAGCTATATTTATAGGCAGGAATATTTTTTAATTAATATTTTTTATATGATTATAGATATTTGATTTAAGGACCACGTTGAAATTGAGTTTGTCTCAATACATTTTAAAATGTTAAAAGTGTTTAGTTTTGTCCCAGTATGCTTTAATTAAAGTGAAATCCGTTTTTATCCTCTAATTTAATAAAAATAAATGTTTTTGTTAAAATTTGAAAATATATTTATATTGTAAAGAAAATTTAATGTTATGATGTAAATAAAAGATATTGAAAAATATATATCATCGAAACCATCAAAACTATCGAAACCTTCTTTTTGCCTATTCTTCTTCTTTTTTC